ATATATATATATATATATATATATATAAGCAGCAATTTTTCATTAATGCATGTTTCATTAAATAATATAGAAGTTTTGTCTATTTTAAGTAAGTTCCTTTCATATTGTTTGATAAGCTTAATCACATTATCGTTGAAACACGAAAGGAAAACACCATATTGATACATGTTTAAATCCAATCTAAGCTTTCGGCTTACACAAGCCAATATCAAAGATGACAATTTCAATAAATCAAACAACAATGGATGAAACAGCAATGATAGTCTGGCGTTGCTGCATTAAAATTTCCAAGTAACGACAAACTCATATATACAAGACACGGAAATAAATAGACAAAATTTGTCTATATTATTTAATGAAACATGCATTAATGAATATTATATATATATATATATATATATATGTGTGGGTCTCAACATAAGATTTCAGGTCACATAGTAGATCATCATGAAACTGCCCAACTATTAACACACTTGATCTCCAATCATCAACTTATTTTCATTCTGCCTACTCCAAAGTCTGATAAATCCAATTGTTAGTGACAAAACCATTTTGACTAGCAAGAAAATGGTTGCTGACAAGAATGTTGATCAAACCAAAAATTACAACAAAGCTGACACAATTTCATATTTTATGTGGGCTGCTTTTCAATCTTCTTTCTTGTTAAGCAAAAACATCCAGCCTACTCCGATCTGCAAAGTCAATATACACAGCTTCTTATAATTTCCTCACTCTCCAGCAGTGTTTTCTGTTATTTACAGTCAATCTAGTGTCCTTATCTTTGTTGCTATCATATTGGCCATTGGGTCCTCTGACTTTCTTCAGGTATCTGTTAATCCAATAACCTTCAGGAAATTTCAAACTGAATCCTTTATTTAATCTACTGTAGATTATTCTCATTTTACTGTCAATGTTTTAAGTTATAACTCAGTTACTGCTCGCTCTATTTTCAAATAGCCTTATTAATTGACCCAGAGACAGAATTCATAATTACTATGCCACAAAATTTGAAAACCAAGACTTTGTTCCTCTATTGTCCCACAAATCAGCAGACACCTGAAGAAGGCTGGAGAGCACAACAGGAGTAGAGGGTCTTATTTTCCCGGAAAAAGGAAAAATAGAATGGCCTACTTGAAACAGAAATCTCAATTTTGAAATGGTAATTTTTTTTTCTAATAATCAGATTTGCCAACTGCTATTTTTATTTGTTACTATGTTTGCCTTTCTCATCTGACAGACATCAAAAGGATAAAGTTGCAAATGTTTTAATACATCTCTCCCTTACTTAATGACTCCATACAGTTTACAGTATTTAGGAACTAAGTTTTACTAAGTTGGCTCGATTTAATAAAAGAAGAAAGGTGGTGGGGGGGGTGTTAGACAAAAATTTTGTCTTATCCTTTCTTTTTTCCTATCACACATAGTGATGGAAGTGGGAGCAGTTTGGCATTTCAAAAAGCCAAATTTTACGAATTGAACTTTTTTAAAAAAATTTATTTAATAATTTCAATAAAGTAACCTAACAATAATGTAGCTTTTTTGTCTCTATGATTTTTCAACAAATTATTTAAGGGAATTAATTTAAAACTAGACTTTTTGTTTCCCTACTTTAACTTTTTTTTAACCTGACAACCCTGCACGTGCACACCTAAATTAGTTTTATTCTTGTAAGAATTAAAGTTAAAAAAAAAAAAAAAAAAAAAAAAAAGAAAGACTGTAAAGTGCTGTGTGAAACAAAAAAAAAAAAAAAAAGAACTATCTTTGAAAGACATGACACGTGTTTTTCTGCAACATCCAGTGCACACAAACTTTTTCCCAAAAATCAAAACCATTTTTTTGAAAATGACCTATTAGCTACACTGTAAAAAAAAAAAAAAAAAAAAAAAAAAACTTTAGCTGTAGATATTAAAAAAAAGAAAAAGAAAGAAAGAAGAAAAAAAAAAGAAGGCATATTTCATTTATTTAATTCTTTTAGTAGTCTGTGGTGCAACTTTGCTGTAGGTTTTGGCACTTTAATTCTTATTTAGCATTGTAGAATTCTTTACAAGAGTTGTACCAGAAACTCATTAAGTTAGAACAAGGGTTGAAGTATGAGGTTTGAAACCCTATCAAGCTGGAGCAACTTATCCAATGGGTGGATATTCCAACGAGTAAATTTTTTTCATTTTCTTTTTATTTTCTTGTTTTAATAACCTTTAGAAATTGTTACACTTTCTCACTAAATATTATAATGAAGGAAAAACAGAAATCTACACTGAAAATGGGGATGGTGCAAAATTCCATAAAACCTAAGACAGAATTAAGGAAAATTTGAAATGGAAAATTGGTCCCTCTACAGTAGGAAGGTTGTGGTAATAACAACAAAGATAAGGATATTAGTCCGACCATAAATAATAAGACAAGCAATCACAAAAATTTAGACATCATATCAGAGTCAATGGTGATTCTCTCTCTCTAGATAGGCTGTACAAGATTTAACAGTTTCTGTTTGGCTTTCTAAACCAGACATTCAGGGAACAACCATCTTCTTTTTTTCTTTAAATTCTTTTCTACATTTGCATGTGATGTTTTATACACAATACTTGTTCATCTATTTTTGTCCTCCTTTAGGTGTAAAATCCATATGGAAAGAGAGGAGGATACTTTTCTTACTGCACCACCAATATAACATGCACCAATAATGTAAAACAGAAAATGGCTGCCAACAAAGTGAAATAGTAGCAAACAGATTCATCAAACTAAATGTTTAGGTGAAACCTCACAACAATGGTAGCCCTATATTCCTTGCATCTGAATTTCTGTAAATGTACTTGGCCTTCCCTATATCTCCAGGCAACTTGCCAACAACCAATAGAGAAAAGCATCTATATCCCCTATTCCAATTAGACCAACCTGATTAGGCTTGGACTCCAGATAACAGTAAAGTGATAAACTGTGAACACGTGTGCCTTTTATAACAACTCATCTACTTAGAAAAAACTTAAAAGAAGCAAACAAACACCAATTTAAATCAGAAGCAAGATTTTAATTACACAAATCATCTTCAACTGAAAGAAATAGAATAATTTAAAAAAAAAAAAAAAAAAAAAATACTTTTACAATAATGGAAAATATTGAAGTAAATATGATATTTTGAGCAAAAGATGTTGTTTATGCTCTCACAGCTGCCTTTACCTGAGCTTGTTGGAATTGGTGTTGCAATTTGCCCAAGTTTTCTCGGTGAGCCTCCTGTTTCTTTTCCAGGTCTTTGATTGTGCTCTCATGTCGTTTTCTGTAATAAGAAAGAAAAAGAAAGCGGACATTAACCAACACTCACTAATGCTCAGCATCCCACTTTTGGGACAGTTAAAAGCTAGAAACCTATCACTAATAGAGCATTGGTTTTAGAAACTTATAATACCAGTTTTATTTTGTTTTTTTTAAAGAAACTTATAATACTGGATTTCCATTTTGTTTTCTTCTCCCCTCCTTTTTGGAATGGCACTGATCTTTTTCTCCTCTCTTTTTTCAAATGCTGCCGAACTTCTTCTCCCCCTCCTTCAACAAATGCTGCCGAACTTCTTCTCCCCCTCCTTCATCAAATGCTGCCGAACTTCTTCTTCCCCTCCTTCATCAAATGCTGCTCATGATCTCTCTTCCTTTTTGGAATGCCGCTGATCTTCTCCTGCCCACCTCTTGGAACACTTTGGGCATATCCCTTATTTGATTGTGTTCTTGAGAATATGCATTGTGAATCAGGTTGTTAACTCATATCCCTTCCAATTTAAACTAATCTTTCTTATCATAATTTTTATTTCAAAGAAAAGCTGAATTTCTTACAAGAAAACCTAAAAAAAAAAAAAAAAAAAAAAAAAAAGAACCTATCCTACTAATTTCTCAATGTCCTGCTGCTTACATTGAGTAATAAAGAAACAACAAGAACTGAAATGTAGCAACAAATATCTTTTGTTTTGCATTTTTGTCACAAAAAGATTTTCATGTATTGCCATTATTTGATTTAGACTACCGAGAAAAAGGACCCCACCACCAGTCTTTCTATTTAAATTGTATATCTGAAGGCCAGAGAATAAATCTGCCAAAATGTTTTGCTAACAACAAAAGCTGAAAAAAGAATGCAATTCTTGGTTAAAAAAAAAAAAAAAAAAAAAAGAAAAAAAAAAAGAGTTTGAATGAGAAGAATCTCTAAGTTTAGAAAAGACACAATTTTATACTCACAGTTCCCCATTGATATAGTCTATTCTTTTCTGCACATTTTGTTTGGCTTCTTCCAAGTCTTGCTTCACCAAAACTGGGCCAATCATTTTGTAGACACAGGATTCTTTTTCCAAGTAATCCAATTCCTAAAGACAAACAATCAAGTTAGAATATTTCAGGAAACAAAAAACCCCTGAAAGCCTTCCAAAAATATTTATATCATGGGGAGAAAATTCCTTTTCAAGTAACTCATCTTTGTCTAAGTTCGTCCTTTGAATCACTTACAACCAATTATTTATAATTAAGAATAGATTTAGACTGTTTAGCGGCATATCAACACCTTATGGGTCATTTAATGGTGAACATTAGTAATTTTTTTCCAAAAATGTATTGCTGGTAATATTTTTTTTCAAAAAATGTATTACATATTCTACTATAAAAATGCGCTGCTGGAATTTTTACTACAAAAATGTATTTCTATACTTTCGTAGTTTTTTGACCCCAGTTTGGGGGGTTAACTATTTGCCCATAGCTGGGACCCTAACAGGTGCTACCACCCCAGGTTAAGGTGGGCCTGGGAACAGCAGCAGTTAAGAGGTAGCTTCACATTTCTCAAAACCTCCTGATCAGAGGTCCTGCTGCAATCTTACTAATTAACCCATAGCTGGAAGGAGAAGAGGGGGATTCATACCTTTCCCAAAGGTGTTTGTGTGTAAGTCAATATAACGAAGCCAACAGAAACTGGAACTCTGTTCTACAATTAACAATTCTGAGCCACTATCCTTTACACCACCTGCACATCCAAGCTTACAGCACCTCATATTCCCAAATGGTCACCCATCTAGGTACTGAACAGGCTCAACATTGCTTAACTTTAGTGATCGTACAGTGTTTCAGTGTGATGTGACTGTAAACCCTCGTCATTTATGTCTGTGGTGTGCAAGTGGACTAGTCTGAATGAAACAAACCAAACTTTCATAAACATTATTTCCCATCACAAACTTAGGTGTGTCATTCAGAAAGCTAAATAGGCCGCATGTGGCCCACAAGCCATGTTTTGCCCCTGACTTTTATTAAAACACATCTAGAGTAAATGAATTCAGTAAACATTACCAGGTCAAGAATTTAGAGATGCTTAGATGTGGCACAAGGCCAAAAGTATGGAGCACCCAGTGAGGATCAAACTCACTATTCAGTTGTAAATGATCTAACAGGACAAGTTTGCTAACTAAAACAGCATCTCAAAGTGCTCAGGTAATTTACTAAGCATAGCTTAGATATGGCACAAGGCCAAGAGTTTGGAGCACCCCTATGAGGATGGAACACACTATTCAATCATAATTGATTTAGCAAGACAAGCTTGCTAACCATTACACCACGTCAAAGTGCCCATATATTTGTGTGTATGTATAAATTATATATATATATATATATATATATATATATATATATATATATATATATATATATATGCACATTAAAGTAACATGAACTGACAGCGTCTAAGAGTTTGAATGAAACCTGTGTAATTTATTGGGGTTGTTGTAACGTCTTCCTTTAATGTCGTTCTTATCATTCACCCCTTAGCCACCTTTATCTAGAGATTTAGGCGTGTTAAATTTGAGCAACATCTAGCCGACACACTGGGGTTAAAATAGGAAACTAAAATGATACATATGACACACTCATATCCTCTCTCCCACCTCACTTCGTTAACTTTGCGTATACTTGATGAGGTCCGTAAAAAACGTGTGAATTTCTTTTCATTTTCATTTCAGCTTTTGGAAGTAAAGTCTGATGATCCAGAACCCTGTTAAAGGGGTTACGGTGAAATAGCTTATTACATGGAATCTTAACGTGGTCTGTCTTTTATTCAAACAAATATATATATATATATATATATATATATATATATATATATATTAGTAATAATATTTTTATAAATATTATAAAATCAAATGATATTACTATTGCATAGATGCAGTCTCAAGTTCTTAAGGAAAGATAAGTCGATGACCTTTTAGTATTAATCCACATGAATAGGAGTTCACTTTATGAATAATAAGAATTATATGTCATGTGTTGGGGGGGGTATCAGGGTATTAGAGATGCTTAGATGATCAAAAAAAAGGTTGGGAACCTCTGGGTTAAACATTGTAATTTTAACAGTTTATAAATGCTTTGTGCTTACTGACAAAGACCTCTGACACGTTCCTCTCCTTGATGTATAGTAGAATAGCAAAAAGATCTTTGTAGTAATTTGTATTTCATCTCTTTATTATTTAACATAACCAATTTATTCAAAAGTTCTCAAGAGTGTAAAAGAATGATAAAAATTATAATATCTTCTGATTTGTAATGAAAAATATCACAAGTTTTGTAATACACTGACAGGCCAAGATGGTGGGGGGTGCCAGAGTGCTACATTTTACCACCAATGATATGGCAGTGTAGAAAACATGAAGAGAAACATAAACAGCAAAGGTCAATTTACTTACTCCTTTCACTATAGTGTTCTCATTTAATTGAGTATTCAGTTTCTGCCTTCCCATAATGTACTTCTGCATATCTGAAATCAGACAAGAAAAATAAATGTAAACTTTGAAAATTACAAAGCAAAGACAGTCTTGCAAATTATTCCAGTGACACAAAATAAGTCATACTCTGTCCCATAACAATTGTTATTTTTGCATATAGATTTCATATACTAAATGTAACAACTATTATGGGACAGAGGTAGTATGGATGTATATTGAGTTCAGTTTCTAAATTGCAATGTATTATTAAAATATACAACCTTCATCTCATAATGATTGTTACATTTGCATACAAATTTCATACACTAAATGCTAGCTATTAATGAGATGGGGGGGTATATTTTGATAATGCATTTTTTAAAATAAAACGTTTATAATTTTAAACAGTAGTTTTGTTATTTACAAATATATGTACACTTAATAGAGGGAAAAAAATATAATCACCACTTCTATTAAATCTGAACAACATTGCAGAATACAATTGTTCATGAAAAGTAGTTCTGCTTTGTGATTAACATCATCCGAAAGGGATGGTAGAATTTTAGTTTGGGATGACTGGTTGGGAAAATACAAAACTTGTAATTAACATTTTATGTTTATTCTAAAAACAAGTAAGTTACTCTGAGCATGAAAACATTTTTGTGCTAAATTATTCAAGAGGATTTAACTGAAATGTTTAAATTTAAAAAGCTGTAATTATTATAAAAATTACAATAAAAAAACTTAACTAATTTGATTTTAATTTTTTTTTATTTTTTTTTTTTTTTATTTTATTTCTTAAACATTTTAACTGTTTTTTTTTGTTGTATGCTACTAGTACTGACAAATATTAATGACTAGCAGTAGAGCCCAGTGTTGCCTGGGGATGTAACAGTAAGAGATAGATCAAATATCGACCATCATAAAATTGACAAAGATTATTGTTTAAGGTTGACAGACACGCATGTCTTAATTAGTTTTTTGGGTTTTTTTTTTTTTTACGAATTGGTCAAACCCAAACTCAAACAAAAACATTGTTTTCAATCGTTATGAGTCTACTGATTGAATAGAATTTTATTATAAACAATTGTCTTGTAAATGGAATTTTTAAAGCATTCTGAATGTAAAAATAAAGAAAAAAGTGTGCAATAAGAAACACTACCTGCCAAAAAAAAAAAAAAAGAAAAAAAAAGTGAAGTTTTGTTGAAATCGGTTGAAAAATGTAGGAAATCCGATCCCATATATAAACAAACACACATACACACAAACAACCTGGGTTTTATAATAAGTATAACTTGATATGAGTTGTCCCCCTTTCATTCTCGTGATGCCTCTTAATCAAGTTTTCAAATTGATTTCATGCAAAAACAATTGTGTTTTTCCAATTTTTGGCGCTGTCAGAACCACCATAAGGTAATTTTACGCCAGTCCTGTGAAGTTTTGTTGAAATCGGTTGAAAAATGTAGAAAACCGATCCAATATATAAACGCACAGACACACACACACACACACAATCTGCGTTTTATAAGTAAGATAAAGTTAAAAAAAAAAAATTTTGATTTTGGGGTGGTTTAAAATTTTGAGGGGACAATTAAAATTGTATTTTGGAACAACAGTGGAAAAAACTAGTCTGAATTCCTGCCTACCATTCATTTCTGCTTAACTTTATTTCAAAATTTCTTGTTCTGAACTGGTCGATACAAAAGCAAAGAGTGTGTGTGGCTAAATTCTGGTTGCAGCAAGGATAATGAAACCATGTAAAAAAAATTGGCATTGTGGATCAATTATTATCCATGAATAGCACACTATTAACAGATGTACACATAGTGAGGAAAACTAAGACAATGGAATCAATATATTTTGAGAGAGTGGAGTAAGAATCGCAAGACTTTCTCTACAGAAAATTCTCCAATAGAATACTATTAGTTTTACATATATGGTAGGGAAAGATGATTACAGACATTAATAAAACAGATTCAATTAATAAATATAAACAAAAGTAATGTTAATCTCTTATCATTTACACTCATTAATAAATATAGATTATATGGCAGCAATATTTCCAGAAAATGTTTTGATTGTTCTAACAGCATATCAACTCAGTTGGTTATTTAATGCCAAAAAGTTTTCTTTTTTTTAAATATATGCCTTGTAAACAATCCTTTGGTTGTTGGTTTGAAAGGGAATGAGAAAACATTAGTGAGGAGAAAGAATAATAAACAAACAAGTTTCAGGAAAACACAAGAGCTTGAGTTTATATTTAAATATCCAAACTTTGAAGTTATCAGAAAAAAACAAAACAAAAACATTTCAAACCAACTTAAAAAGCACTTCTTCATTGCTGATTTGTCATGGAAATAAGGGTATATAAGAAATCTGTCATGTAGCCAAGATAGTTACATATTTCACGCCAGTGTCAAAATTGAATTCAGTTCTTAGAACCATCCATTTTGAAAAACATTTAATTTCAACATCTCTTTTTATGATTAAAATATAGGGTTACACATTTAATGCTGTTTGGCAGCTGATGTTCACATCAATGCACCTCATTTGATAGGAATTTCAAATTTCAGGTTTTTGCCTTCCAAGTTCTTAAATTTCCACCCATGAGGAATATTTTCTAAAATATATAAATACAGCAATTTTGAAAATTTCAATTTTTAAAAAGCTTTAAACAATTCACTTTTAAGAACTGACACTATGTGCAAAAGGACTCCTGCATGGTTGCTTTCCTGATCACTAAAGAATCTATCATATATATCTATAAGTGTACCATTCACCCATGCTTAGAATATTGCTGCTACATATGATCTAGTGCCCCTTGATAAAATCCAAAGAAGAATCAGCAATATTACTGGCCCTGATCTGGCATCTCAGCTTCAGTCACTTGACCACCACTGTAAGGTTGCCTCTTTGTGCCTCTTCTATGAATACTTTCATGGTAATTGTTTGGATGAGCTCTTCACTGTGGTACCTAGACTTTTTTTAATTTAAGCTCTGTACTAGACTCATTAATTTACGGTTGAGCTGGCTAGATGTAACCATAAATTCTATGCTAATAGTTTATTTTCTTGCACTTCTCACTTGTGGAACTCCTTTCCGGCTCCATTCTTTCCAGCTAACTTTAATCTGCAAAAATTTAAATGCAATGACAATTACTATCTACTGTCCTCCTGATTATTCTTTCCTCTTCCCACTCATCGATATAATAATGAATAATCGAAATTGCAGAATCCAGTGAAAGTCACCCATGAAAGTGTCGTAGCATACCAGACGATAATGGGTATGCCCCCATTCCCATAAATATAGTAGTGGATACTGTATGTTGGTCTAGAGTTGGAGAGTCATTGTGGAATTAACTTGACTTGCTTCTAGCAG